GATCAATAGGGCAAGGCCCCTGGAAAACATTACTGTCCCTCAGACATACTGAATGAGTAAACGGGGCAGCGGTTTTAGACAGCCAGCTCGACAGGCCTAAGCTTCACTGAAGCTCAAAATAAAAGAAGCACTGTCTGGAGCAAGCATCGCCCACTTGTACAGTGGAGAACACCACACCCTTTAAATTACGTCAAACCCTCAACTGGAGGGACAAGGCTGGACCCTGGGTGTGGGTACTGCTTATAGCCATTGGGCGCCCAGGGGCAGAGCACCCCCTTCTCAGCAGGAGCTTTTCTGGTCCCTCTGGAGGCTGGGTCCACCCCAGACCCACATGGGCGTGAGCTCCGGCTCTCAGATCCCCGCCCAGAAGCAGACCCCACTCTCTCTCCCTGTTCCTTCCGCCCTAAGGAACCTCTTCTAACACCCAAGCAGCACCTGAGTTCCTGACCCCCCTCCACCTGGCCCCTCAGGAGGAACTGTCTCCTCAGAGTGAAGCCTGTCCCAGCAGCACCCCTACATCTCTTCCTCGCTGGTACAGAGCTCGGTCTGAAGTCTGTTTGGCTCCCTCACTGTTGGCACCTGCTGGGGTCTAAGTTCCGTAAGAAAGGGGCTCCATCCTGTTCCCAGCGCCAGTGAGGGTCACTCAGGCTGCCTGGCGCACCGTGGGCTCTCAGGTACGGGCTGTGAAATGACGTGCTGGGCTCTTCCCTGGGCTTTCTTCCCTTTGCCCCATTCCCCCTACTGGGCCGTGACCCCTCTGAACATGGGGAAGAGTTTCTCCCCTTTTCCCCAAGCCCTAAGAGCCCATGCAAGTGGGGGTGAATTTAACCAGCAGGAAACGGTCCTGGGGACCTTTAAAAGACTTTTCAGAGCTGCCCTGGAGGAGAAGGCCTGATGTTAGGTATCTGGGTCCCAATTGCCCCCTGACTATCTAGTGGGTTGTCGGAAAAGCCATGACGTATTTTTCTATGTTTTTCGTTGCAAAAATGCGTCATGACTTTTCCAACAACTCCATACTTCTCACACCTGAGGCTAAGTGGTGGTTCTCAACTGGGGGCGATTTCACCCCTTACCCCCACCCCAGGACATCTGTCTATGTCTGGAGACATTTTAGTTTGTTATACTTGGGAGTCGGGGGAGCTACTGGCATCGAATGGGTGGAGGCCAGGGATGTTATTAAAACCTACCATGTATAGGACAGGCCCCCACAGACACAGCTCAGCACAAGGTCTGCTGGCAACACCAACTGTCAGCCCTGTGATTTGGGGCAAGTGCTTCACCTCTCCTTTCTTCACTAAAATGGGAGTATTATTAATTCCTACTTCACAGCATTCTGTCTGGCATGCAGTAAGTTCTCAACAAATATTAGCTACTATTAAGAGGAAAGGTGTGAAGACATTATTTAAAGCCCAGCTGGGCACACAGGGCTGCAACTCCTGCTTTACCTATCTGTCACATTCCGGGGCCACCTCTGGGCTGGATGTGGCCCCAGAAAACCGACAGAGGGGCTGAATTGCTACCCCGTGTCCTGGGGACTGTGGCTCACACTCAGGCTTTCAAATGTTTGAGCTGTTTGTTCGGAAAGAAATGATGACTCAATTTCCATTCTTTATTTGGGAGGTACTGAGGGTGGCAGCGTGGAAGAGTCAGCATCCTGCGTTTAAGGATTAAAGTTTGTGCTTCAAGAGGAAAAGAGTTTAAAAGGAGGGGAGCAGAGTGATAGGAACAGAAAAGTAACTGAAATTACTTGGGCTTTCCTGGAGGGCGACAGTTGGTTAATGCCTCTGCCTGCTGCTGGCACCCCCCCCCCACACACACACACAGCCTGTGTGTGCAGAATGTAGGCCCACTCTGAAGAGGGGTGCGACCAAATCAAAGAGGAGCCACCCCCTCTGGGAATGGTGACTCAGGACCCCAAGGGGCAATGAGAGCCCTTGAGTCGGCATACCGAGCATCAGCCCAGAGACTGAACCATCAGCAGAGCCCTGTTCTTCTCCCCTCACCCCGCAGGCTGCCCCAGGCTGCCCTTCCACGCCACAAAATTGGAAAGGGCATGGGTTTCCAGGCCACTCAGAGCTGACGCTGGAATCCCAGTGCGTGAGGTCAGGCAAGCTCCTCAAACTCTTTGAGCCTTTGTCCCCTTGTGAGTGAATTGGGTCACACGACCTTGTGCACTGAGCACGTGGTCCAGCCTGGCACACAGCAGGTGCTTGATACCTGCTGGTCCTCTCCTTCCTTCCCTCTTGGCTGTCCTTGATGTTCACCTTAACCTTATCACACCTGCAGAAAATGGGGTGCGGAGGGAAGGAGAGCAGACGGCCCCAAGGGGTGGAGATGGGAGGACCTTAGCAGAGGGTGAGTTCCCAGCAATGCCTCCTGTGCTCAAAGTGTCTTTTCATTTCCTCCCTCTCCTTGGACTCATACCCCTGGATGTTGGACCAACAGAAGCCCCTATTACAGGGGAGAAAGCAGCGCTGCAGGGTAGAAAGGAATTCGCTCAGGGCCATCGAGTGGCCTCCACCTCCTGGGCCCTGCCCTGATGCCTTTAGACGGTGAGGGCGCTCACCAAGCTCTTCACACCAGAAGATGGGACCGCACACCTACCAAGCTCAAGCACACTCGGAGGAACACATGTTAGGCTATGAGCAGCAGGGTCTTATTAACCCCAGGATAGCCTAGTGGTTAAGAGTATCAGACGAGCCCTGCATATAGGCTCAGCCCAGGACAAGTCAATTATGTCCTCTGAGCCTCAGTTTCCCACCTGTAGAATAGGGATGTTGGGAGGGCTAAATATATATACAAACAAAGTGCTTAATAAGTGCTTGGCACAAATTCAGCGCTGAATATGTCACATGTTTAATGAATATTTATCGAATGAATAAAGGGGACAGAACACTAAAATTAGAACTGTCCCCTGTCCACAAAATCTATTCTACGGGGCTATCATACAGAAGAAGAAGAGCACCTTTATTACAAAAGGCCTCAGGAGGGACGACTTCTTAAATCTAGAGCAGGCGTCAATCAGCAAACTCTTTTCTATAAAGGGCCAGAGAGTAAATATTTTGGGCTTTGCCTACAGTTCCCATCTCAACTGCTCAGCTCTGTGGGTGAGACAATATATAAATAGATGGATATGGCTATGTTCCAATAAAACTTTATTTGTAAAAACAGGCTGCGCTGACCCCTGCTGCAGAGATTCAGCTCCCCCAGGTTACAGTGGGTTTCAGAAGGTGCTGACAAGCTTTGGGGTAACAAGCCTGGCCCTCCTTCCAAATCTCTGCAGGTAGGTGCTAAGGGCGGCATCTCTTATCATCCCCATTCATCCCTGAGCTATAACTGCAGACTGAGGGGTTCCCTGGGGGAGGGGACAGAGCCAGGGAAATGGCAGTCTCCAGCTAGAGAGAGGCAGCCAGGCACAGCTGCCGGGACAGTAAAAACAGGAACCAGCCCACTGGGCCACCCTCTCTCTTGAGAGTAAAGCTCAGCAACTAAAAATGGACCCAAAAAAGCGGAAGGTGGAACTGGAGCAGAGGCAGCGTGCTCCCCAGTGTCTTTGCGCTGTCCCCCAAGACCCATCGCCCTGGCCACAGGGTGGTCTGAGGAGCCCAGGGCTCCAGGGCTAGACCCACCCTTAGGGTGGCGAGGGGATGATCCGCCTCTGCTCTCTGTGCCTCTCAGTCCACATGTCCCAAATGGGGACACCACTGCCTCCCTGGCCCAGCACTTAAGAAACTATTAATAGGAAAAAGAAAAGCAGAAGGTGTAAAGTTCAAACATGGTAGCATGTGCAAGAATCACCAGTCCACAAATGTTCAATTAAAAGAACGAATAAAGTAAAATTTAACAAAATAAAGCATGCCAAAACTGAAACACGGGCTTCAAAGGACTGCAGCCAGTCAGAGCAAAGAAAGCTCTGTGATCCTGACCCTCGCTTCCTCACCTGCGAGGAGGAGGTAACACCTGTTTGGCTGCCCCACACTGCCCGTGACGCGAGGTGTGCACTGAGCACATGGCAGTCCCTCCGCTTGCCCAGGCTGTCCTCACAGCCCCAGCCCACAGTGTCTGTGGAGGGTGGTAATGATGTCAAGGGGGGAGCTGATGGGGCACGAGGTCTCTGCTGCAGAGACATGCAGGAAACACCAGCCCCCTTGCAAGTCTCTGCACTGGCGGAAGCATTCGGAAGGCAGGACTGGCCCTGCAGAACTGCCTCAGAGCCACAGCTGCCTGCAGCACGCCCGCCTGGTTATGCAGCTTCTCGCTCCCTCACCACCATCACCAGCATACCCATGGAGCACCACTCTGGGCCTGGTGCCCACACCACCACCCCATTGAGCCCAGCTGAAAGCATCCACTGTGCTTTTCTGTCTTAACCCCAGGGAGCAAAAGACTAAGGAAGGTGGCGTTCTGGCACCATGGTTCCTGGGTCTGAGGTAGGTGAGTTTTCCAGGGCCCTTCAGTCAACCCACAGGAGAACAAACTCTTTTGCTACCTCAACAGCAGGGACAGTGGCATTCCCCCAAATGATTCCAGGCCTTTATTTTTACCACGCTTCCCCTTACATCTCACTGCCCACTGAAAGGTGGAATTTCCCACTTGATTTTGTGCGGAGGCTGAGGCTCAGGGAAGTGAGATGACTACTCAACACCTGAGGTGACAGTGAACAATACAGACTGGCACCTGTGCCCAGCTCCCTGTCCTCCCCTCTTTCCAGATCAGTTTCCAGACTCCCAGACCTGTCCCTTCTAAAGAGAAACAGCTCTCCCCCTCAAAGCATGTGATGGCTTTATTGCTTCAGCAGCCTCCGAAGGTTGGTCCTTCCCACAGAGAGCACCTGGGCACACCTCAGTCTGACAAACGTGAACAAGCCAGCCCCGGCTGATCCTCTCCAGAGAGTGCACACACACACATAGAGAAGAGGAGGGCCAGGCAACAGCACCACCATCTGAGTACCCAGCCCAGAGTAAAACTTCCACATCCCCGCTCGGCCGCTGGCGACCTACCCCTTCTTCAGGTTTGTCACATAAGCGCTCTGGAGGGCGGCTTCCAGGAAGTAGGTGAGCTCATAGTCAACTGGGTGAAAACCTTTCAGATGCCGTGATGTGGTGTTATTTGTGATCTGGGAAAGGGAACACAGAGAGAACTACTGTCGTGAAGTTCTGAGGCAGAGGGGCCGGGGTGAGTGTCAACCCTGGCAGAGGCGGCCCCATGACCACCCCAAGTCCCCAGCCAGCCCCACTGGCACATGGCGCAATTCTCAGACCAAATTCAACTGAGCTCATTTTAATTTAAAATATGTCTACAGCACTCTCACCTCATTCAAATGTCAGATGCCCACAACAGCCCTACAAAGCTGGTTGTGTCTACATTTTTATACACGAGGAAACCGAGGCTCAGAAAGTGCCTCAGGTCACAAAGCTGGCATGTGCCCCGACCTCAAAATCGAATCTGGTCAGCTACAGATCCCAGGTTACCGCTACTACTTATTGGTTCATTCATCCAACAAACAATTGCATTGTTCCTGTCATATAACCATGGAGCACCGGACTAGCCCAAGGGCAGGGATCCCCGGTTCCAGGAAAAGCTGAGGAGCAATTACGTTATTAACTGAGCTGCCCTTTAAGCCTCAGCTTTAAGGGGGTCACCCAGCACCACCAAGACTGACCTGCCTTTACATTGCCACTTCCCTTCTCTGATTCAAGAAAGAAAAATCAATGGGCCATCCACCTTATTTTTCAGAAATCAAAGTAGATTTAAGACATATCCTCAGTTCCTCAGAGGTTGGGGCTGAGTCTTAGGAGGGACACACAGCATTTCCAAGAACGCACAGGGTTCTCTGACCTGCCCTCCTTCAACTTAAAATAACCAGCTAAGGGGCCCATTGTCTGCCCACTGCCACGGGGCATTGATTCAAGCCCTGGGCACCATTATAGCTCATCACCTTTATCCCCTTTCAAAAGTCCAAAGCCTAGGCTTCTGGCTGAATGGGAGACTTTATCTTTTTTTTAATCAAAGTTTCCTCCAAACCTCATGCAACTGAAATGTGAAGAGCTCCTAAAACACTGCTGTCTAGCAGTGATCTACATGAGTTCAGGAGAGTGTCAACTCAACCCCATCGTGTCTCCACGGGGACCTCCACCAGGAAACACACTTGAGTCCCGTCTTTGCTGAGTCCCTCAATCACTGCTCCTTTCCTCCTGAAGTCCAATCAAACAGAGGGACTCTAGGGCAGTGACTCTAAACTCTAAGTAAACTCTAAGCAGGGTGACTCTGCCCTCCAGGGACATTTGGCAGTATCCACAGACGTCTTTGGTTGTCACAATTGGGGGGAGGGGACGAGGCTTCTGGCATCTAATGGGCAGAGGCCAGGGATGAGGCTAAACATTGTACAAAACCCAGAGCAGGCCCACAACAAAGAATTATCTGGCCCTAAATGTCAGCAGTGCTGAGAGTGAGAAATCCTGCTCTAGAAGTGGCCTGGCCCGAGGGGAACTCTTCCAAAAAGACCCTTCACAAAAACAGGGACTGGGTTGACATTTTGACATTTGCCAAAGTAGGTGAGGTTCAGACCTTTCCCGGGCTCTCAGTTTCTCAGCTCCTCCTGTAGGACGCCCATCCTAATCCACTCTGCCGTCTAACATCTACTAACCAGAACGCGGAAGCACCATCCCCCGGCTCTCCCCAACAAGTGATCAGAACCACACTCCCAGGGTCCATATCCTGCCAATGCTACTTACTAACTGTCTGAACTCCGAGAATCTGTTTAATTCCTTTTCCAAACCTGAGAATACCTAGAATTCTATCCTGCATACAGTTAGTTCAAACAGGCTCCCCAAGGGGGAACTGGGAGATGAAGAGGCTTGAAGAACTTCCAGCTTCCAGGCTTGGAGAAGGGGCCCCAGACCTCACCTCCCATAGGGAACCCAGGGAGCTTCTGGGGCACCCCAGAACCAGAAAGCTTGTCTGTAAGGACCAGCCTGACTGAACCCATTCCAAGAGGAGAGTGGTGAGCAAACAGTTTAATCTCTCTAAACCTCACTTACTAAACAGGGATGAATATAATGCCGATTTCAGAGTTGCTGTGAGGAGTAAACAAGTGAATGGATACAAACAGGGCTGTCAATTGGGTCATACGAGCTGAATTCGCCAAGGAGGTTCGTGGCCTCTCAAAGGTGGTGTGGACTCATCTGTTTACTAAAACTATTTCCCGGCCGTAGAGTCTCATTTTAACAGAGTCAGTATACTATGAGTTTTCCAACCAATGAGGCAGAGTGTCTCTGGAGGGGTACAGGGTGCCTTTTTCTAATTTGCACAAGGCTGATCATGCGCTTAGTGGGGGTTCTAAATACAGGGGCTCAATAGAGGGCGGCTGTGAACATAGTCCTATAATTCCCAGCTCACCTTCTCCAGTTCCTGCAGGAACACCTGAGCAATCCAGGAGGCCCTCTCGAAGCAGGTGATCACTTCCTCCTCTCTCTCAGTCAGGCGGTGGCGGGAAGCAATCGAGTTAGGTAGGCGTTCCAGGGAGAGGCCTGCAGGAGGAGAGCACTTCAGACCTGCCCTGCTCAGGCCCCTCGGACTCCAGGCCCTTCCCATGGGCCCAAGGTGAGCTCATCTGAGGACCCCTATGCGCCGGAGCAGCCAGCGCGAGGTGGAGGTCTGAGGAGGGGAAGGACGAGGTTAAGCAATGGTGGTATTAGCAGTAGCTGGGATCAAGCCGTGGGCAGATAGCAGGCACCCATGTCCCATGTGGGGACCACTCTGTGGCCCCGTGTCCAAGTCCTGTCTATCCTTCCAGGCCAGGCTCTCCAGGAACCATTCCTGACCCTTCTTCTAGTTGCTAGAAGAAAACATCCACCCCCCCAGGCACTCACCAGTTCCACACTGTAGAGTGGTTATTTACACCCAGCGCTTCTCTCCCCCCGTAGCTAAAAGCTCCACGTGGGCAACATGGGAGTCTTTTTGGACCGCCACAATCCCGAGTTCACGGTAGATGCTTGAGCTACACAGCATTTTACATGGATCCTTCCCATGGAACCAGTTTCCACCTCACCTAAGTTAACCGCGCTCAGGTCTTATCTGCCTAGAGCAACGGACACCTGCTGTTTCTGCCTTCTGGCGTCCACTTCCCATTCTTTGAGCAACAGCACTTCCCCTTTGAGCATCCCACCCTCCCACAGTCTCAGCCACCTGGTTCAGCAGGTGATGACCCCACTGCCCTCTAGGGCAGCACATAAGCCAGGCTGGCCCATCATCAGAGCCACAGTTTGTGGCTAAAGAGCAGCACACGGCCTGGTGTGGGCGGGAAAAGAACCAATTCTGGAAGTTTCACTCATTCCACTGGGCTCGATAAGCTGGTGAGAGGTCAGCCTGGAAATGTTGGGAAGGCCTTCAAATGAAGCCATGCAACGTTGAGTGCAGTTATTTAACATGACTGAGCTGCGCACTTGACAATGGCTAAGATGGTACATTTTATGTTATGTGTTCTTTACCATGGTTAAAATTTTTATTTTTTAAATTAAAATAAAAGCAGAGCTCTAAAGCCAAAGAAAAAACCCAAAACAAAAAATCTGTAAGAAGCCAAGACGAAAGCATTGTCATACTTACTAAAAGTGAAAGTTGTAAAGGAAAACAACTATATTTGTATTTTTTTAAGATGGGAAAAAGACTGAATAAACTCTTATGAAAAAAATGATGAAGTCTACAGAGAATAAAGATGAGACATGGTGGAAGAGGGCAGACTCTTAAAGACACTGTTTGAGCACCTTGCCTGAAACTCTCTACCCCCTGAAACTTTCCAGTACATGTGCCAATAAACCCTTTCCCCCACATTTTTGGGGTCAAAGTTATTTAAATTGTGTTTCTGTCATACGCAACTCACACAGAACTGACTAGAGGGTGCGGTCCTGGACTGTCGGCCCCAATGGGCAGAATCCAGGTGTCTGTCTTCCCTGCGCCCCACGCAGTACTTGACATGTACTAGGTGTTCAAGATGAACTCACTGAAGGGAACTATAAAAACAGAGTCGTCAGCTCTCTCCTGCCCTACATCCCCAACATCCAACTGAAAACCAAGCCCTTAACATTTCAAACCTCCCCTCCCCTCCCTTCTCTTACTGCCTTATTTCAGGGTTTAGCTCTTGAGTGGATGACCACGTCAGCCTCCTAGCTGGCTTCCCTGCCTCCAGTCTTACTCTAATCCATCCTGCACATGGCTCAAAGGGCGATCCTTCCAAAACTCCACCCCTTACCTCCCTTCAGGGGTGCCTACTGCTACAGGGTAAGGTCCAAACTCCTGACGCACTATATACTAGGTCCTCCAAGAGCCACCCCTGTCACCTCTCCAGCATGTCTCTCATCATATGCTGTAGACTGAACGTTTGTGTTCCCCCCCAAGTTCATATGTTGAAACCTATGGCCCAATGTGATGGTATTAGGAGGTGCCAGGTCCTGGGAGTAAAGCCCTCACGAATGGAATTAATGCCCTTTTATAAAAAAAGACCCCAGAGAGCTCCCTTACCCCTTTTACTGTGTGAGCACACAGAGAGAAGTTGGCAGCCTAAACCTGGAAGAGGGCTCTCGCCAGAACCCGGCCACACTGGGGCATTGATCTCGGACTTCCAGCCTCCGGAACCGCGAGGAGTAAATGTCTGTGGTATATAAGCCACCCGGTCTTTGGCACTTTGTTATAGCAGCCCGAGCTGTCGAAGACACCATAACTGCCTCATCCACACCCAACCTCCTGTACCCAATTGCTGTCCTGCTGCCTAGGAAGCACAACCCGCCCCAGCTCACCCAGAATTACCACCGTTTCTGACTCACTGAGTGCCCTCTCCTCTCCAGAGCCCCTGACATTTCCTGGTATACCCAACTATTTCCTCCTTGGGCCCTGGTGTATACTTGACATATTCCCACCCCACCACTTCATTATTTGTTCACACATTTGCGCAGCCAGACTGTAAGCCCCTTAAAGGCATCAACCTCATCGTGTTTACCTTTCCGTAACCAGGCACATAGTAGGCACTCAGCAAACACTGGCTGTCTGGCTGGTGAAATGACAAGCCTGATCATGTGTGACAAAGTACAAAGTGCTCTGCCAATATAAGATGAGGAATTATTATTGTTTTCTTGGCTTCATCCCAATTCATACGGATGCAGTGACCTTGCCCTCTGCCAGGCTGGGGTGTGAACAGGTCTACAGGTTGCGGTGCCTCAGCCTGGGGGGAGGCAGGCACAGAACGTGAAAGTCCTTGCTCAACACAAAGGTCACTGAGTGTCAACGTACCTCCTGCCAAATGACTCACGACCATTTCAGCTCTTCACTGGAGAGGACTAAAAGGGGAGGAGAAATAGAGGGAGCACTGAAGGAGATGTAAAAAGAAGGCAGGAGAAGACAGGCTCCACCCCTGCTCCCCAGACATGTGGCCTGTCCACCCTGCAGGAAGGTGGGACAAGCATACTGTTTGTACAGTATGCCTAGCCTGAGAGACCACCTGCAGATGGCAGGAGGACTCTGCCAACTCCAGAAGACATAGCATGGATCTATTTTAAAACGGCTGCCCTGTGGGCCCTCACTGAGAGATGTGCTACTGGCTGGGTTCCCTCCTGCCCCACCTCTGGGCCCAGAACTGGGATGGAAGATGCCCGCTGCCTAGCAGGTTCAGGCTGCCAGTCCCAAGTCTCCAGTCCAATGGCCACTGCAAAGCGGTGAATTTAGCAATATCTGTCTGTGGGGCCTCCACTTCCTCTGTGCTTCATTTGTTCCTCCTGTTCCCGGCAGAAGCCTCTCCACCATGCTTCTCTCAGAATTCTAAATCCCATCCTCCTTGAAAGCTCACAGCAAAACCACCTCCTCTCTGAAACCTTTTTAAGCCTCCCAGACTCAAACCAGCAGGATGTTTTAGCTGCATCTCCTTTGCGTACGCCTTTGTCCTACGTGGTCACCATCCTCTCTGCGCATTTCTGATTGATCTTTGCACCCAGTGAGAGCAGAGCCTGGCACTGAGTGAGTGGATGGATGCATAGACAAATGAACGCTGTCATTCCTGCTGAGTGTAGAGCCCGATGGGTTTCTCCCTCTCCATTTAACTAATGGTTCTTGCAGAATTCATAAACAAAATGTATGTTTATGCAATAAACTACTAC